GTTTTATATTATTATCGTGTAATGAACGGAAAAGATATTGTTTATTCAAGCGAAATTGAGAATGTTGCGATTTAAGTCTCAATTTAATATATTCAAAATCAGTTAATTGAATATTTCTATCTTCATGCTGTCCGTTGACACCATATGGATATATATCAGGAAAACATTTTACATCCAAATCTTTATCACGATTATCTAATGGAACATCTTGAATTTTAAGCGTTTGATAAAGTGTAGTTGCAGATTCACAACTCTTTTTTTCATACATAGGATATATTGTAAATTGTTCATAATATTGATCAGATTGCGACATTTGCGTTAATAATGCTGTATGTTCTTCTTTATCGTTTTCCTCGTTTTTTTCTTTTTTATCATCAGTTTTAGAATTATTTTCTTCTTGAAACTCAATATCCTGTAATTCAGAATTCAACAAATTTTCAGGAGATGTTGGTAATACAATATCTGAATATATACGATTGTTTTCTTTCAACCATACTAAAGCATTCCATACTTTTTTTATATCAACTAAATTTTCCCAGACTATATTTGCCTTTGTTGGAATACTACGAACTAATATATATAGTTCATGATTCAAATTAAGAGGTTCAGTCGAAGGACAAATCTTTTCTAATGTTTTTGTCAAAGGCAACGGCAAATGAAAAGTTCTACCTTTTACCTTCGATATCATATGTTTATGTGGTAAATTTTTATTTATTACAGTGCCCATTCTTTGTACAGTTTGAAATGCTTTTGCTCGTTGTATAAGAATTCGTTCGTATTCATTTAATATTTCTATTTCTTTTGGTACAGGTAGTACTTCGAGTTTATTATACTTGCACGTAGGAGGCATTTTATTATTTTTAAAATATTTATTACAATATGTGCAAACAACATGAATTTCATTAAGTTTTAATCCCATGTTACTAATAAAACTATTCCATACTGTCATACAATCGTTCTCACGAATTTTTATTCTGATAATTTCCCTTTCGAAACAGATCGGAAGA